AAATGAGCCTGTCTGGACCTGGGCTTTTCTTAGTTTGGTAGGTTATTTATAGTGCTTCAATTTCATCACATGCTATTATTCAGGATTTTTAAATCTTCTTGGTTTAGTTTTGGTAATTCATATGTATCTATTTTTTTCTGATTTATCTAATTTACTGGCATAGGTTTGCAAGTTAATTGTTAATAAGGTTCTTTTATTTCAGCAGTGTCTGTTATAATTGCCCTCCCTTTTTATTTAGAGACAGGTCACTATGTAGTGTAGGCTGGCCTTGTCAGCCTTGAACTCCGTTCTGCAATCCAGGCTGGCCTCAAAACTCCCAAGTGCTGGGATCACTCTTCGTACCTTTTTCATTTCTAATTGCTTTGATTTGGGGTATTTTTCTCCTTTTGTTTAGATTAGTTAAGGGTTCATATATTTTGTTTATTCTTGAAGGAATAAAAAAATCAATTCTTACATTCATTAATTCTTTGTATTTTTTGTGTGTGTCTCTGTGTCAATTTCATTAATTTTTAATGTGATCTTTACAATTTCTGTCTTTCACTAGCTTTGGGTTTCGATTGTTTTTGTTTCCTAGGATTTTTTTTCTCTTTTTTTTCTCTTTTTTGAGACAGGATCTTACTATGTATTCCAGGCTGGCCTTGAACCCATTGTGTTGCCTATGCTGGCCTCACACTCACAGTGATCCCCCTGCCTTGGCCTCCCAAGTGCTGGAATTATAAGCATGCATCACCATGCTCTGATTTTTCTAGGATCTTGAGGTGCATTGTTATTTGTTATTTATTTTGGTTGGCTGTATTTTTTTGATGTGGGCAGTCACAGATATAAACAACTGTGGTAGGACTACTTTTCCTGTGTCCCATACATTTTGGTATGTTGTACTGGCATTACCACTTAGTTCTAGAAATCTATCTTATTTTTTCCTTGATTTTGTCTGTAACCTATTGTTTAGTCAAGCCTATATTGTTTAGTTTTCATGCATCTGAAATTTCTTTTTTTGCTAATTTCTAACTTCACTGTGTTATGGACTGGTACTATGCATGGGATAATTTCAGTTCCTTTGCATTTACTTGAGAATGTTCTATGAGCTATGTGCTCTGTCCTGGAGCACATTCCATGTGCAGATGAGAAAAATGTGTATTCTGATGTTGTGAGGCAGAATACTCTATAAACATCTACTAAGTTCATTTGTTCAAAAGTTTGCTTCAGTTCTAATATTTCATTAGAATAATTTTTTGTCTCGTTCATGCATTCGTAGCAGAGGGTATTGAGATTCTCTAATGAAACTGTGTTAGTGCCTCTGTCATTTTTCATATCTGTTAATATTTGTTTTATATAGTTGAGTGCCCTGGTATTTGTTGTATACATAGTTTTGATTATTATTTCTTCCTCTTGGATTGGTCCCTCTAGAAGGATGTAGTGACCTGCATCACTTTTAATCAGTCTTGGCTTGAAACCCATTTTGTCTGCAAATAGAATAGCTACCTCCTTTTTTCTGGGTTCCTGTTACATGGAGTATTGTTTTCCATTGTTTAACTTTCAGCCTATGAATTGCTTTTTTAATTAAATGTGTTTCTTGCATGCAGCATATTGTTGGATCCAGTTTTAGTATATGTGCTGCCAAAGCAAGCATGGATCTTGCTTCTTGATACATTTGCTAGTCTATTTCTTTTGATTTGGGAACTAAGACCATTATATTGATGTTTATAAGTAAAAAAAATATTCACTTATCTTTGTCATGCTATTTTCCTGTTGTTGCCTCCCTTTTTCCCCTTTTGTTTGATTGTTTGCCTTGTTTGGAGGGTTCTTTTTGTTGGTTTTATGGAGTTGTAGTCCTTGTTGTCTCTGTAGAATGTCCTTCAGAGCATTGCTAAAGGCAGGGATCTGAAGTTTTTTTTTTTTTTTTTTTGGTGCCAGGAATTGAACTCAAGACTTTGTGCTTGTCAGGCAGGCACTTATGCCGCTGAGCTAAATCCCCAACCCTCTTCAGAGCATTTTGGAATTTTGGAGTGGTGGTTTGGTGTTCATGAATTTCCTCAGGTATTCTTTCTCATGGAAGTATTTTATTTCTCCATCAATTTTTAGAGATAGTTTTGTGGGATACAACAATCTGGTTAGAGGTTGTTTCTTTTAGGGTTTGAAATACTCCAATATTTTAATTTGAGAGTTTGTATTGTGAAGTCTGATGATTCTGAGGGCCATTCCTTTATGGTGATTTGTTTCCTTTCTCAAACAGCTTTTAATGTTCTGTTTTTTTGTTGAATTTCTGGCATCTTAACTATGATTCAATTTACTGTAGATGTTTTCCATCATGATTATTGGAGTTCTACATGTCTCACTTACACGTATGTCAAATTCTTTTTCCCTATCAGGGAAATTTCATTTTCACATTTTTTAAAAATATCATTTGTGCTATCTTATGCTTTTTCATTGATTCCAATCAATCTTATGTTATTTTTCCTTATATTATTTAGCAAGGGGTAGATTGATTTCTTCTCATAGTCCCTTGCTAATTTTAAGAAATCTTTCCGGGCTGGGGATTTAGCTCAGCGGCACAAGTGCCTGCCTTGCAAGCAGGCAGTCATGAGTTCGATCCCCAGTACCAATAATAAAGGAAAAAGACAAAAAAAAAAAAAAAGAAATCTTTCTTTTCATGATCACTGACACGTCTATCTTCTGTATCTGAGATCCTATCCTCACACTGGTTTATTTTGCTGGGCTTACTTTTCAGTAGAATTTTTAATCTCCCGAATATCTGCATAAATGTTTTATAGATTTCATTTTGACGACTGGCACATGTTTTCTTTTTTCTTTTAATGTTTTCATTATACAAATGCAAAGATATTCTATGTCCTATGCAGCTGAACTTCAAAAAGGGGCATGGAGGGTGATACTAATAGTTCAGTGACAGAGTACTTTCCTAATATGTATGAGACCATGTGTTTAATCTTACTATACAAAATACTAACAGTAATAATAGCAACAACAATAAAGTCTAAGGAAGAAAAGATTTGCCTATGTGCAGGCTTCCTTATTGTTGCTGTTATTGCTTTGTAGTACTAAAGATTGAATGCAGGTACTCACACATATTAGGCAAATAATGTACTCCTGAGCTACATCCCAGCTCTTTTAAATTTGTGTTTGTTTGTTTTGTTTTTGAGACTGGTCACACTAAGTTGTATACACTGGCCTCTAATTGCAATTCCACTGCCTCAGCCTTACAAGTGCTAGAATTACAAGTGTATGCTAGGATGTCCAGCTCAGACCAGCTTCTAAAACAAAACAAAACAAAAAATTCATGTATTTACTTATACAAAATTTTAGCTTCAAATCTTCTTTCTTTAATAGGTATACAGAAGATAAGCTATTTAAAATAAAACCATTTATATAAAAATTTTACAAGAATTTTACCAAAAACAAAATGAAGTAAAACCTCTCATTCCTTTTATTGCAAGAAAATATTAATAGTCATAAGGTTTTCAAAGATCTTAGTATACATTTTAATATATCAAGTATTAATTTAAAAAATAGTCAACTTGTGAAGAGATTCCATAGTCTATTTTACAGTCAACTTGTCAAGAAATTGTCTGAGTAGAAATCATTCCTAGGCTGCAAAAGTTACACTAATGAACTTCAATCTTAAAAGTACAAGTCTTAGTAAGTGCAAAAACTGTATAGCTCTACATTCAATCTTTAAATGAAAAGGAACACTACTATATTACAAAATCAGCTCAGGTTGCTACTCAGAAGATAAAAAAAGATTCTGTAATTCTAACAAGACTCAAATTAACAATAAAGGAATATTTATGACATTAGAGAATATGTAGTATCCACAAACTTAGAGCCAGTAGATTCCAAGTGTTCATTTGCCAGGCAGGAGCTTATGGCACTTAGTAAAATCTCTGGCCCCATTTTTTTTCTTTTTTTTGTGAGACAACTACTATGTAGTTCAGGCTTGCTTTGTATCACTATGTAGCCCAGGCTGACCTAGAACTTGCAGTGATACTCCTGCCTTAGCTTTCAGACTGAGTACATGCTTAAACCATAAGCATGAGCCAACTCACCTGACTATACTTTTAAAAAACAGTTCTGCTAACCATAGGTTCAAAGGAACAAAGAGTTGGTCCTCAAACACCAAACTCCCAAAAGCCAGCATTTGCTAGGTATGGTAGCACACACCTATAATTCTAGTATTCAAGAGGTTAAGGTAAGATGATCGGTGCAAGTTCTTGGCCAGCCTGGGCTACATAGCAAGACTGTTTCAAAAAATAAAACAAAACAAAACAAAAAAACAAGAAAGCTAGTGGATGGTATGAAGTAATATGGAGCTGAATGTATTCTTTGTTTTTTCCATGAAAGAGTCAATGATCTCCTATCACTTTAAAGATAAAATGTGTACTTCAAAATTAGTATTATTGGGGCTGGGGATTTAGCTCAGTGGCATAAGTACCTGCCTTGCAAGCAGGCGGTCGTGAGTTCGATCCCCGGTACTGATAAAAATGAAAAAGACAAAAAAAAAAAAAAAAAAAAAAAAAAAAAAAAAGTAAAATTAGTATTATTTATTACATATTTATCTGTTTTCCAGAATTTTTTGTTTTCAGGATTTCCAAAAGTTTAAACTTGAATGATCAGTCTCAGCATCTCACCTGAATGGGTTATCTGCAATCACATACAATGCAAAGAGAATGCTCCCTACCTTTACTCTAGAAATTTGATGGCCTCTGATGTTACAGAGTTCAATTTTCTTTGATGATTCTCTTAAGTACATTTCATTGCGTGAACCTTGTGTAACACAAGATTAAGATACAGACCTTAAATTTTGACTTGTACCATCTATAAATATTAAAATAATTCTTTATTATATCTTCAGACAAAGGAACGAATATTCACCACCAAACTTTGTTCAGAAAATTGTATTTCATTTAGCTGTTGAACTACTTCCTAGTTCTTAAACATTTTAGGTATATTATGACCATTATCTTTAATATGATTAAATTTCTTACCCTTTAAATGATGTATGTCTGCCATCTGATATGATATGTTGTTCTGTAGCTTAACCTGAAAGACAATTAAGTTCATTTTACTAAGTAATATGTAATTTTCCTATTTACTTTGTTGTTCATATTCACTTTCAGCTTGATCAAAAAATCAAACAAAAACTGATTTACTTATACCTTACCTCTTTTCAAAAAGAATCATAGATATATTCTAATTTTTTTGTTTTTCTTTTTTTTCTTTTTTGTCTTTTTTCCTTTTTATCGGTACCGGGGATCGAACTCACGACTGCCTGCTTGCAAGGCAGGCACTTATGCCACTGAGCTAAACCTCCAGCCCGATATATTCTAATTTTGTGACATTTATTTTAAATTTGCTTGAAATTACTCATTTTACTTGATGTGTTAAGTCTGAGGCGAGTATCATGTAATACGTTTTTTCAAACTCTTACCAGAAGGCCACTCACTAATTCTATATTAAGCAAAAAAATTTTAGTGAAACAATGTCAGAAGTAATTAATGCTTCTCATCTCCCCAGTATAACATAGTATCATGTGTTATCTTCTAACTCAGTTTAGCATCATGGTCACTGCTCTGTAGGCATCAAATACTGTATAAAAGAACAGTAAAAACTTAAGAAGTATACCAAACAAAGACTGCAATTAATGCTTACTACTCAATCTAAAAATTACGAAAAGGCCTTGGATAAGCCAAGACCTTGCATACAAAGAACCTCTGTGTCCCTTGTCTCACCATCCACTGCCACTGGAGAAACAGTATAAAACAGTTTAAAAAGTGGAAGAGCAATCTTGATGAGTACGGTGGCACACACCTGAAAGCCATGCCACTCGGGAGGCTGAGGCCGGAGGTTCCAAGTTTGAGGCAGCCTAGGCGGCTTAGTGATGCTTTCTCTCAAAAACAGAATAAAAAGGGGTGGGAATATAGCTCAATGGTAGAGTGCTTGCCTGGCGCGTGTGTGGCTCTGGGTTCTGGTATGGAAAAGGAAAAAGGAACAAAAAAGAAAAAAAGAGGAGTCTCAAGGAATTAGTAGGTGAGGAAGCATCTAACATATCAAAATTTAGAGCTGAGGGAAGCTTTGCAGAAGAGTCTATCTGAAAAGGAGCACAGAAAAGACAGATATGAAGCTCCACCAAAGATTACCCTATCTAAAGCACAAGAGGAAGGAATAGTAGGAAAGGATGGGGAGGGGAAGATCATGGAGGGCCTGACAATTCTTCAATAAGCTCATGATTCTTTTTTTTTTTTTTTTTTGAGATGGGGTCTTGTTTTGTAATTCAGGCTGGCTGTGGACCCACTATGTAGCCCAGTCTCCAACTCATGACAATCCTACTGCCTCAGTTTCCTAGCATATGCCATCATGCCTGGCTCAAATTTAAAATGAAAATGCACCCATAAGCAAGTAATAGATGAAAGCAGAACCATTCTGACTAAAGCGGAAATCTAGGAGTTCCATTTTCTTTGGGGTGGGGAGGGAGAGAAATTTCATTGAAGAATGAAATTTAAAATACAATACTGATACACAATCATAAAAAGGAATGAAGTACTATACCAGTGCGTGATACAACATGGATGTGCTTTGAAAACAATATGGATATGGAGTAAAGTAAGTCAAAAGAGGACAAATATTACATGACTCTACAGAAAATAGGCAAATCTATAGGCTGAAAGGAGTTGGATGGTACTAGGCCCTGGGGGAAACGGAATGATGGATGCTTTTTTCTTTTGAGTGCTAAGCATCAAACCCATGGCCTCACATACAGTGAGCAAATGCTTTACCACTGAGCTGCATGAAGAGTGACTTTTTATTTTTGGTCTTGCTATTTAGGGGGACTTGAATTTTCTTTGTAGCCCAGGCTGGCCTCAATTTGTAATCCTCCTTCTTCAGCTTCTTGAGAGCTATGTAACAAGTGTGTACTACCAGGCATAGCAGAAGAATGACTTCCTCATGGCCAGAGGAACTATTATTTGGGGGAAAGGAAATGAATTGCACACTTCAAAAGGATGAGTTTTACCGTATTTGAGGTTTTTGGTTTATTTTTGATACTAGGGATTGAACACTTAGGCCTTCACACTGAGCTACATCTCCAGCCCTTTTAAATTTTAACTTTGAGACAATGTCTCACTACGTCCCTAAATTGCCCAGGCTGGGCTCAAACTTGTGACCCTTCTGCTCAGCCTCCAAAAGTGTTAGGGTTTCAGGTGTGTGGCTCCACACCTAGCTTAAATCTGAGTGTATGTAGAGTAACACAGGAAAATGGAGATAAAATAACAGACAAACACTGTGTACTTAAGTAGTGTTTATGTAGTTTATTAATCAGGACAGGCAGCCAAGTAAATAAGCAATTGTAAAAGTAAATGGTATCATTGGGTTCTACAGACATAATGGAAAAACTCAGTAGAGGAAGCAGTTCAATCCGGCTTTGAGAAAGTGAGGCTTCTGGAGATACAGACAATGGCTAAAATGACTCTTATTAAAAAAGCAGTATTTAGCCAAGTGGAAACAAAAAACAGTGAGTAGGAAAGACATTCAAAGGCATGTGTCAAAACTTAGAAATGAAAACCACTAAACATTCTAGGAGTTACAAGCAGCACCACAAAACTGGAACAGACGATTTTTTTTTTTAACTTTTTTTATCGGTACCGGGGATCAAACTCACGACTGCCTGCTTGCAAGGCAGGAGCTTATGCCACTGAGCTAAATCCCCAGCCCCATGGAACAGATGATTAAGGGGAAATGGTAAGATATAAGACTAGAGTAAGTCAGATCCAAATGAAGAGCCTTGCCAAAGAATATATCCTGGCTGGTCCGATGGCAGTGGGTTATCAGAACTTCTTAACATTAGTGTCACTAAAGTTGGTATACCATCCCCCCCCCACACACACACTGCTAAATTTGACTGGCTTAAAAAAAAGAATATATCCTACAGAATATGGTTAACCTTTAGAGGACTTTACCAAAGCACTGAAACCCAACTTGCAATTTTAAGTCCATATGGCTAAAGCATGAAGAATAGACTGAAGTGGACAAGACTAGAAGGAGATCAGGTCAAAGACCACAGTTACATTATATGGTAAGAGAAAATGTTGGTCTAAGCCAGGGCCAAGAAACTGCAGTTTACAAGTCTGTTTTTGTAGGAATGACAATCTAAGGATGACTTGTTGATAGGTTTTAAATGTCCAAGGGGAAAATCCAAAGGAAGATTTTTTCACACACGGATTATTTGAAATTCAAATTTCAGGGTCTATAAGTAATGGTTTATAGGAAACCAGTCATGCCAATTCATTATATGGTCTATGGGTGCTTTCCAGCAACAGTGGGCAGCGATAGAGATTATATGACCTGCAAAGCCTGAAGTATTTATTATCTGGTCTTTTATGTAGAAAAAATATTACTGTTGCTTTAGACTAAGAAAATGAGAGTAGAGAGATAAATATATGTGATAGATATTAAAGAAGAAAAATGAATCATCTTCTTGATTAAATATGAAACAGGATTATAACTGATTATGGATGAAACATATAGCATTGCTTAGATTTCTAAACAGGGGTTCAAGATGTGTAAGAAATATAATTCTCTGCAATAGGGAAATACAGGAAAAGAAACAGAATTGGAGTAAGGCAATGTTATGGCCTATATCTAGATGTACATCCAAAGCCTCACACAGTCCTAGGTGGAGTTTTTCAGAGTTGGCTGACTCTAGAATGTGTGATACTGGGTCAAGAATGTGTGATTACTAAATTAGTCCACTGAGTAGTTTGGCATAGTTCTTAGTAGAATTCAGGGTGTTCCATCCTGGGTGTGAGTGCTACCTGTCCTAAGAATGTGTAGCCTGGATAAAATATAAGGAACAGAAAGAGGGCTGCTGTGGTCACTTGTCCTTTGCTGTCTTCTGCCTCCCATCGACTGTTTCTCCTCTGCCATGCCACCTTGCCTTGGAGCCAGCCAACTATGGACTGAAACCTGTATAGACTGGGTCAAATATACCTTCTTTCCTCCTTTAACTTTGGATTTTGAGTATTTTGTCTCAGCAATGGGAGAGAAATAACTAAGACAGAGAGTAAAGCAGGGAAATTATTTTTTCCAGATTTTGACCTGTTGAATTTCAGGTACCTGTGACATATTCAACAAGTGATCTTCTGCAGACAATTGGACATACTGGTCTGAAGATTGAAAGATTTCAGAGTTACTAGCGTACAAATGGTACTCAAAGCCAGGGGATACAATATGGAGGGAAAACTGCAGAGGAAGCAGAAAAGAGTGATACCAATAGTTATTTGATCAGTTTATCACTTAGAACTGTTATCTCTTCAGTTACAATTACCTTACATCCATATTCTTTCCTACTTCATTTTCATGATCCAATTTCTTTTTGTATTTGTTATTCCTCCAAAGAATACATCCATATATATTTTTTAAGAATAATAATCCATCTTAACAGTCTTACTTTCAAGGAGTTTGCAATCAGATGTGGTGATACACACCTATAATCCCAGCACTCAGAAGGTTACTTCAGGAGGACTGCCCAAGAATGAAGACAGTCTGGGTTACATAGTGAGTGCAAGGCCAGCCTGAACTACACAGTGAGAGTCTGCCTCAAAAAAACTCTTAATTATTTTGGCATATTACTTGTTTTTTAAAATCCATTTTTACAATGCCATGCCAGCACCTTGGTACCTTTTATTTTAAATCTGCTTCTGAAATTGCTAATGGGATGCTATTCATGAATAAAGGAGTACAACTGACTCAACTTCCCTGGAGATTTATGTGCTTAAAGACTTAAAAATTTTAACAGAAGAGGGAGAATTCAATCTACAGACCAAAATGCCCCCTAAAACCAAACCAAACAAAAAACAAAACCCACATCCACCCCCACCCCCACAGAGACAGGAGACAGGGAGTAACATAGATTGGCTGGTAAGAGAGGCATGGTGGGATCCTAGGATCTACACAGCTTTATCTCTCAGGGGCCCATAAGTAGAACTTTCCCAGGTTCCCACAAGATGTAGATGACATGAGGACAAAGGCACCACGAGTAGCCCCAC